AAGAGAGTCTGTGTCAGTCTGCTTCTGAATCTGAGGTTCTAAGCCACTGGATGTGCAAGCTCTGTTGGATTCTTGATACGCTGCTTCGGATCCCTGCTTTAGCCCACACCCTGAGGGGCTGAGAAAAAATCATCAGGACTGCTTCAGAACGGATCGCCCCTGCTCCCCACCAACCTCCTCCTTGGCAGTCAAAACCCAGAGAGCCTTGCGCCTGTCGCCGTAATTATAACAGAAGCACTATACACACAGCATACATTCTGGCATACCTAGCCTAAGCCTAAGCAAGCCAGCTGTTGAGTTCTCAAGTCCTCAGAGCGCCCGAAGAGAGAAATGGCCCGGACCTCTCCACATGACAGAATCTCCTTAAGGCCCCTATAGTTCAATGGGACACTCTTCTGCGTGAGACGGAGGGCACGGCTTAGATCGCTGCTTTGAGTTCGAAACAAGCGGCAAGTAAATCACGAACCGTTGTTGGTTCAGGGATGTTCCGGGTCGTGGGATTAGCTTTTAAACAGCAGTTACGAGCACTAAACGCTAGATACAAGTGATGCGAGCAATCCAGATAATGAAGGCCATGTTTGGTGGGCGTTTGCGGGCTGCAGTGCGAAATGGTCAACAACACGTCGAGAAGTAGCTCAGTCCGGAGCAGGCACAGGCAACAAATACCACGGGGGATTTCAGCATTAAGCTGTAAACCTACTGGGATCTGTATCCCCTGACATTATCCTAGGATTAATCAGTTTCTCTCTTTCGCTCTCTCGCAGAGACGGGTTCGTCGGTCTAAGACGCGAGCTTGTTGGAAGGAATCGCCAAGAAGTTAGGCTGCTCTGGTCCTGCCTCTGCCCTTGCAGATGTCCGAGACGTGAGAGTCTCACTCTGGATGTGAACTTTGGACTGGACTGGACAATGAGCCACCGCGCCTGCAGCGAGTCTAGGTCGCAAAGTGCGGAGCAGCCTCCAGAGAAGATGCCACCGCCTGGGGGTGGTGAAAACATGCAGGCTGCTGGCAACACCTATCACAACCAACACGAAATGACAAATACTTTGACATCATCACGGCTAGCGAGCAGTGGAGTGCTCTATGGTCGAGAAAGTAAAAATGGAGGCAGACATGCAAATCAGGAGAGACAGAGAGAGAGAGAGAGAGAGTGAAAGAGAGAGAGAGAGAGAGAGAGAGAGAGAGTGAGAGAGAGAGGGAGGGAGAGAGANNAGAGAGAGAGAGAAAAAAAAAAACTATTCGCAACAGCGATGGCACCTCAAAGGACGACGATTAAGCTTCTGGTGACTGGCGTCGACGATGGTGAGGACTGTACGCAAGTCTTGTGTCAGACCATGGAATTGTTGCATATTATGCTATCCTCGTCCACGTGCACGCCAAACACCTGTAGACTAAGCGTCCCCAAGTCCCTGGAATCCATGGCCATGGCATGTCCGAGGGCGGAAAAAGGCCAACAGCAGCAACACCTGAGCTGTGCTTCGCGAAATCGCGGACTGTGTTGGGGATGGCAGAACCTAATAACCCAATGCTTACAAGAGCACCCTTGCTCCAAGGAACACAACTCATGGGTCATGCGAGTTTACGAACTGTCGGAAGTGGATCATTGGTCAAAGCCTGAGATCCACGTCACACCGTGTACCCCATGCTCTGACTCACGTCTGGGCAACCGATAGCCCTACAAGCAAACTCGACAGCTTGAGATGTTGTTGTTTCATACATGACTGGCTAGACTAGGCAGCACTGGCATGGATAGCTCTCCATCCCCGTGTCAGCACCGGCAGTTTTGCCCTGTCACACGCCGGTTTCTCACTCAGATACATCCTTGTCAGGCCCTGCTGATTCTCAGCGAAGCCGTGCGAGCTGCCTAAAGTTTTGGCAGCCTGCAATCATGTGTCCACTGCGTGCTGCTCGTAGTCACGGCACATTTTCACAACCCAGACTCCAGCAAAGAGATGTGAGGTGTATCCTGCATATAGAGCCCGGAGCTCAATGCCCCGAAGAAATGAACGGCGCCCAACAGCTGGTCTCCCCAAGTTTCTGCAAACCCATGCAGCTCGTGGAAAGCTCCCTGCGAGGGACTCGGTGATGACATGAAAGGTGCTCATGAACAAGCCGTACAACCGAAGCTACTTTTTAGACCATATGGCCAGCGAGCCTAGTCCGAAGCCTCTGTGTGTCAACTTATTCCTCTCTCCAGAACATGCAAAACTCAATGGTAGGCGGCCCCTGGAAGGCACAGGTGACACAAGCCCCATGGTGCCCCCCTGCGACATGTTAGAGCGCACGAGAACGTGAGTTAGGCCAACTGGGGACTCCTCAAAGCTTGTTTTGCTATCGGGGGCGAAGAGGCTTTGGGGTGGAACTTGGTGTTCGGGCTTCGGAAGTAAGTAGGGCAATGTATGCCTGGCAGAGCAACAAGCTTTGCGACTGCAACACTTCCTACGACAGAGGGCTCCCTAGGCAATATAAGAAGCAAAGGTTCAGAGCTCCAAAAAACAATGTAACCGCAAAACTATCTGCTGTTTCAGGTTGTTCCAGGCCAAACAGCCTTACACCTTTCTACTTTTCTGAAGTCGAGGTGCTACAACAGGCATACAAAAACATAAACCCCAACATGCACTCACCAAAACACGTATCTTAAAGAAAGCTTTCCTAATGAAGGAGGAGTGCCCAGTTGTCCTTGGCAAGATAGGCCCGGCCCGGTGCTCAGGCAAGAAAAGCTTGTGCGTCCAGACATGTCTCCCGTTGGGTCTGCGAGTAACTAGCATGTCGAGGCTGAGGGTGTATGAGGGTTTGGAGTTTAGCGTCCGTGGCCAGATTCCCTGCGTGGCCTTCAGAGGTCACGGGGTTCAGGGTTTCTTAGACTTTTAAGGCGGCTGAGCACACCTTGGAGCGTTGAGGGCGGCAGCCCTGTGGGAGACGGAAAATGCCTCGCCGCCATCACAGGAAGGATCCCTGAGCCACTGCCGACAAGAGTTCGACTCTGGGGTCCCTTCCAAGACCCGGAAGCTGGAAACTTTGAAGTTAGAAGACCTAGCCCAATTGAAAGAGCTCTTAAGTCCTATGACGCCCCAGGCCCGAAATAGTCAGACAAGGCCCCAACCCCACCCCCCTATGTACTATTTATGCTTGAAAGAAGCGGGCTCCCAGATGGTGTAGGGTTGCTATTGCAGGCTGCAAACCTTAACCTTAAAGCGCCTATAAACCCTTGCAAACCCTCCAAATTACCCAAGGTGTATGCAGAGGCTGTACCTGTGAGGAATCTACGAACTCACCTCCCGAACCCGCATGCAGTCAAACACACACCGAGAGGTAGAGGTGGAAGTAGAATCGCTACATGTGGGCTCCTCCCCAATAGTACGGCAACTTTGTGATTGTCGTTGTCCTGATTCTGAGAAGCTTTGACTCGTCGGGCAGGCTCAGATGCCCTAATATACCAGCGTGGAGCCTTGTTGCAAGGGAAGCTGGTTGCACGAATTGCGCCACGAATCGGATATTGCGGAGAGGAAAGCGAACCTCCTCCCTCAGGCTACATGCAATGTCCGTCTGAAATTTTGGGCCAAAAACCTCAGATCTCAGGCTCCTGCTGGCTCCCTCTTCTGTCATGCCCACGGCTTGTGTTCGAGAATCTTCAAGACCCGGCCCTGCTCCCAGTCTAGTGACTAGTGTTTATAGGGTTTTTGGGGTTTCGGGTTTCGGGTTTTGGGTTTCGGGTTTCGGGTTTATAGGTCCATGGAGCGGAGCTTAGAGGGTTGAGGTCTCAGACCAGCTCGATCGCAGGAAATGGCGATCCAGCTAGACTCCTGCGGCAACTGTACAAGGAAAGCGGGAACATGAGTCGATCAGGCAACTGCGAAGCTTGGCAGCAACAGTTTTTTTCATGTCAGGCCTAGGAAGCAGGAATTCATTCATTATGAACCCCGGGGGACCAAGAATGAGAATCCAGTTCAGCACTGCACAACACCCCGACCAGGTCGAAGTGTTGTAGCTGCAGCCACAACACTGGCAGCAATCTGTGACTATGATCACAACTGTCAGAATCAGGTCGCCATCATCAACTTTACCATCCTCGTCATCATCCATCGCAAAGAGCGGTATCAGCACAAGACTCATCCCCGCCATCAACGTCGCCATCAGCCTCGTCATCTTTCCCTTCGCAGGAACAAGCATGATCAAGGCCAGCATTTAGATTCGGCGACGACCCTTCCTACGTAAATGAAGCTTCTGCCTGTGGGCTGATCGACGGCAGACGGCCGTTCTGCGAAGGCCAAAGCAGCTTGCAGTGGCCTACGAGGCCCTCACGTAGCGTGACAGTGACACACCTGCGGAGTTCTCTTCGAGGCAAACTTGAGTACTTGAGTCTGACAATGAGAGAAAGTCAAGCACTTCTAGGGAGTGGTGCAATACATGTTGGCGTCCATCTATAGAGTCAGCAATCCCACGAGACGGCAGAAGTCTGCGTCACAGGCCGCACACGCTAGAAGCCTCAATCGAGAGACGCTACAACCCGGGAGATCAAAACCTGCAACTACAGGTACCACCAATCAAATCCAGATGAAGGTCAGGAAACGCACCATACCGCACCTGGAAGCTGCTCCGAACCTCAGCAGTTGTAGAGGAAGTCAAGTACGCGAGGCTTGTAGAGCACCCGACCTCAGTGGAGGAGGTCGTTGGGAGCCCTTCCGCACGAGCTTTGCTTTAGGATTTCGGACGTATGGTCTATATGGGAGTTTACGGCTTAAGGGCTTAGGCTTAGGCCTTCAGGGATGGCCCGGGAGTTCTTTGTCCCTGTAGGGCTTCTTGGAAGATGGAGCATCCACTTGAGGCTCTCTGCACCGGCTACCCGTCGTGCTCCTGATTTACACCATCTTCGAGGTGGAGATACTCTTCGAAAACCCCACGGGGGCAGGGACACGACCACAAAAGCTGCATTCAGGAAGGGGCTTGTGTTTCTGCGTCCGGGTTGCTGTAAAGCAGCACAACAGTCAGAAACGACTTGCCCCTAAGCGCCCATAAACGCCAACGTCATATCTATGCAGCACCAAAATAACAAAAACGCCGCCGGGGCGCAGAAGGCCTGAGTGGGTTGTACGCCTTCTTGGCCCGTAAGCATCGAAAAGAAGTCTGCAGCAAAAGTTTGGCAATTGCCTCAGGCTGCGCTGATGGAGGATTCCAAACTTGTTTGAGTTGAGATGTTGACCTAGAAAGTCCTCCTGCGCAGCTACAGCGACTGCAAGCAGAGTCAAGCAACCTACTGGAATCCATGCTCATGATCTGGGTCCTGGTGACATCAGGAAGGTAGGAGCTTTAGGAACTGTAGGCCTCAATGCGTTTAGGAACCTCGCCGAGGTTGGAACATGGCATATAATAGACAGACCCTCGCTCGAAAGACATGCGAGGGCTATGTATAGGGCATCTTCAATCAAGCTCGCTGCCAGGAGTTTCCAGCACTTTTTGTGATGCTTCGGAATTCAAGGCTTCAGCTTCACCTTTGAACCCCGCACTTCAGAAGCCCTGCTTGGGCAGTTCTGGTCAGTTGGATACAAGCCATGTTGAGGAAATTCAAATCGCGGACTCGTTCGATCCAAACATTCGGGAGCCAATGTGAGCTCCGCACTTTGTTGACCAACGCCCCTAGGCAAGCCCACACTCGCTGCCATTGTTTAATATAATATAATATAATACAATTCAATATAATATACTCTAATATGATCTAATATAACATAATAAAATATAATGGAACACCAACGAGCTGCGGCGGGCTTCCTCGTAGTGTGGGTTGCGAGCGCTGTAGTTGAGCAAGTAGCCCAAGATGTCCTGACCGCGGGCGACGTTTTGCCCGGTGCTGATTGTTGACTGCGTGTTCCGAACCCTTGGCAGCCGCTGCAGCACAACCATCAAAATCCACCGCTTTATCATCGGCAGCATCAGCACCCAGCCCCTCATCAGCAGCACCAGCTCCAGCAACGGTATCACCCCTAACCTCTTTCCAGCATAACTAACCTTGTGATCTTGACCGTGGTCGTTAGCCTCCCCATCGAGTAGTCATCCTCATCGTCACGCCAGCTCTGATCATGAAGGTTCTTTACAATGACAACATAATCATCACCAACGACACCACCATTGTCGCCGTCTCTGAGAACCATCGAAAGCTCACTCCCGCCACATAAACCCCACAAGCCCAAATCTCTGCACCTGAACAACACCCTTTAGACCGATCAGATGTCCCAAATACAATGCAACAATGTCGTAGCGCCCGCTTGTTTTGAATGATATGATATAGACCCGATGTCCGAAAATATCTGTCCTGAAATGCAACTTGTAAACCCGAACCCATCTACTGTGCCCCGCAACTTGTCCCTAAAGTCACCGGATGCCCTGAAGCCTATCCTATTGTAAGCCGCAACATAAACCCGAAAACCGTGCCCCCCCCCCCCCCCCCCACCCATACCTGTGCACAGCTCTGCGTTTCATCGCTACAGCAAAGTTACATACTTTAAATCCCGTCCCTTAAGACCATTGTAAGGGCCTACTGGGGATTTGTAGGGGGGCTTGATATCCTAGAAATACATGTAAGCGGAAGCGTGAGGTCTGGCACGAGGGAGCACTGCCTATTTGGAGGCCCTGGTATGACTGATTACAAACCCTAAACCCGGGTTCAAGCCAAAGCGGCCGACAAAGATCGACGCTCGAGCCGGACCTACCGGAATGGAGTGTTTCTAATTAGGCTTTATGGGGTTTTAGGAGGTGTCTTGGAGGCTCGGGCTCAAACGGCAATCGTCAGGACAGCCAGGGCAGTTCGGAGAATAGGCTGTCTATGCAGCATTGCGCCCGCAAGCTTGCGACATATTCAGGCTCTCAGCCCCCTTTTGCAGAGCTAAGAAGTCTTCGTCGCAGTCCTGCAGTTTTGCAGCTTCTAAAGACCGGCTGTCGGGCCCAAGGCAGGACCCCAAGCACTTACTTTCGCACAAAAAGGCACAGCACCAGCAGCGGGTAGGGTGTAAGGGACTTGGGTTTGGAGTTCTCGGGTCGTCTCGGGCTCAGGTCTGCTTACTCGAGCCCGAGCCTCTCCCGTAGGTGTGGGATTTATGCAAGTAAGCTGGCATTCAGTACTTGAAAAAGGGCCTCTGAGCCCTGGTCCTAGAGCTATTCACAAAGACTCATATCGGCCCTGAACAGTTTTTCAGGCGATGCTATCGTAATGAAGGAAGCTATAGGCCCTTACTGCTACTTGCGCTGGTCTTCAGAATGTCCAAGACCCATCTCAATCACCCCTGTCGCATATTACAACCTGCTCCCTGCGCCATCTTGATGCCGACCAACTTTGTAAGACAATGCCGTGCAGCAGACCTGGAGATATAGTCCTGCTACCTGGACCATTCCATTGAAGCTGGTTTCGAGTTGATAGGCCCGTGAAGCCTGTCCAGAGAATGCCACATAAGGATCGAAGAACCGTTGCTCCTTGATGCTGAGAGAGCCGGCACCTTAGCTACCAGGGGCGGTCTGCGGTGCACCGAGATTCCTCAAATTCCAAGGGCTGGGTACCAGAAGAAAGTCCAAGTCGGGTTATCAATGTGGGTCACGACTTACTCCGAGAAAAGTGGTATGTCGCACAAATCAGACCACACAGAATGCTTTGGTCACATCTTCTACGCCTGCAGCTGTGAACTTAGCCTGATTGACACAGGGCGCCGCTGAACTCGTGGAGAAAGGCCTCGAACTCCTGGAAGGGATTTCAGCACGTTCCGTTTGCGATTTTTTCTACAGTCAGTGCCTCCGACATGGCATGTCAGCCCTCCTCATCATCATAAACATCAGCCTCGTGAACTGAACAGTCACAGTATGCCACAGTACTATGCCCGAGATTCTCCACAACATCACAAGACCGCAAAGCGCCCGAGTGACATTGGGAAGCCCCATGTGGAGGTCCGCTAGATCGAACTTCTGATGAGGATTGCATGACTGCAAAGGCCGCTTTGGCGAAACTGCCGTCGGCAACTGCGACGCTTACAGTCTGTATACATGCAATGTTCTGCAACGGAATACATACATACACATACGTACATACATACATACATACATACATACATACATACATACGTACATACATACATACATACATATATACATACATACATACATACATACACACAAACAAACAGCCAGCCAGCCAGCCAGCCAGCCAGGCAGGCAGGCAGGCAGGCAGGCAGGCAGGCAGGCAGGCAGGCAGACAGACATGTGTGTGCATATGTAATATATACATTATGTAAGTTTCGGCATGTCCTGGAAGCTCTTCATCTCTGTGTCGACCATACGGATCTCTGCCAGATGCTGCTGCCAGGGAACCTCCGTGCCGCTGTGTCTGGAAACTGTGGGATTTGATAGATCGCGGTGGCTTATCACACCGCACCACGAAAGGCGAAAACCGCCAATGGGCTTAAGGAAACAGCCAGCCTTCCAAGACCCCAAAGCCCAACCTCGAGCAAGGAATGCATTAGATGAGGATGCTATGATGTGCTACACGAGAACAGTCCCGCCTTCATGCTGTCAGGCATTCCTGCGTAGATGGCCGTTGGGTCAGCCAACCTCATCCGATAGGTGACAGTGCTGGTTGATATCCGATTCGGACCATGCGATGTTCGCTCCGTGACGTCCTGATTTCAGCCTCTGGGAGGATTTGAGTAGTAAGCTTCGCCTTGGCAAAGTTCGTGAACAGCTGCTTCAGGCATACGGATGTCCGATAACGCTTGGTGGGCTTTGGCCGCGATTTACTCAAGTTGTCCAGCCACGCTCGGCAACCCAAGGATGTCTACCAGACTGGAAGTCGGTCTCTTGCTGCACTTTCCTACACAGACAGCAGTCGTGCCTTGGATTCTGGTGCAAAACCGACGACGACCCAATCCCCAACCACAAAATCGGCAGAGACATCTTGGATCCGACCCAGGAACTTGTCCCGGCACCAGTTGCACCGGCCATGGTAGCCGCCGAGGCCGTTCCTCAGCTACATCCTGAACTCTGCATGAGCCAGAAGGGAATGGCCCGGAGATCCAAGTTTAGGCCTCAAAGTCATGCGGCGACCTTTCCCATCACCATGGCCAGATTCAAGATCACGATGTTTTGGCAGGAAACCTCTGGAGGCCCTTTTGAAGAAGCAAGAACCCATGGCCGAGTCATCCTCAGAGGCTTCTAAAGGACCGGCAAGAACGTCGGACAAGCAGGTCAAGCGGACGGTGGACAGGCCTACAAAATCACTTGGAGACACGACTTCGAACTCACATTCTCAAAGCCGACCTAGAAACATCTTGGTCGGATCCGTTTGCAGGCCGGTGCGACTGTTTTAAAGGCTTGGTTTGGCGTATTGGGCTGAGAAACTGCAGCCACGGTTCAGCCATGCGAGCTCCACAACACTTACGAAGCGCTGGTGGCCTCCAGGCACGCGGACGGCTTTCAAGGCGGGTTTATATACTTGCTTCCGTGCGCTGTGGGGTCTAAGTCTCGTCTGGCGGCATGATTCGTGCATGATGCCAACAACTCTGAGCTGAAAGGAAGCCGCGTACAAAGCGAGCACAAGCCATGGGAGCTGCTCTCAGTTTATCAAGTCAGGAGCAAACCCCACAAGAATTTCAGGGTTTAGGGCTGCCCATCGCCCGTGCATGTACTTACAGGGTTCTTACATGACTTACAGAGCCGTCTTGGATTTGGGCATTGGGAGCCGGGATTCGGTGCTACTCCTCAGAAGCCCAAGAAGACCTCGACCGCAATTTTCTGAGTTGTCGAATCTCGGACCTCAATGAAACCTACAATCCTGATCCAAATACCCTCCGGTTCGGGGAGGGGCTCCTCGTCATCATTCCCTGGTTCTCACATTTGATGCCAGTGGAGTGAAGCCCAGAATTTCCTAGCTGCAGAAGGCCCTTGGACGGACCCTGCCCAGTGCAGTCATGTGTCTCCACTCGATGAGGATAGCACCTTTGCCGCGGCCAAGACAGGTTGGAGATCTCCTCTCAAAAATCGGGCCTGAAGCACCCAAATGAAATTGACTGACACTTGTATACGGGCCCCGTCCTTGAGCAAGCGCTTTCTGCATGTAAAACCATGCTTGATAAACAAAGTTAGAACCCCACGAAACATTGCAAGATACATGGTGCAGGCAGGAAGCCATGCCAAATCAGCCGGTCTTTGATGCCTTCCGTGGCCTTGGCCTGAGTAGACGAGCGCAAGGATAGCCACACAATCAAATGCCAGTGTCGCTTGCGAGCGATAGTGCGAGAGAGAGGGAGAGCTAGAGAGAGAGAGAGAGAGAGAGAGATAAAGAGAGAGCGAGAGAGAGGCAAACCGGGAAAGAGAGCGATTGCATGCCACCGTGAGCACAGGTTGGGGTGTTTGTGACTGGTTTGGTTGGAGTGTCACCCTCGTCGTACGGCGACCCCTCAACAAACCATCACTGAAAAAAAGGTGTGTTGTGCACGGCTGATGGTCAAAATGCCAGACGAGGGACATAACGATGGGTGAAGAAGTGCACGTTCGTCGCTGTAGCTTCTGCAGCCTCCTTGTTACTCCTCAACCCGTGAGCCGCGTGCATGCCTACGGCTACGGATCTGAAGGTCTTCGGATCAACTTTCGGGACTCGATGAGGCTGCAAAGCAGCACTGTCTGCTTCATCGCTTGCCCAAACTTATGTGCCGTCGATTGGCCCCGGACCCATTCTGTGAAACAGTTGCAAGGATACACATCACATCTGCAAAGACTTCGAATCCACGGTGCATCTTTGTAAGCCTCACACGGCCGCACACTAAGTCCAAGCTTCCAGCCATTCCAACCATTGTTTCCCTCTCGGCGTTCTCGACTACTTGCTGAATATGAAAGTCTAAGCTATGCGACCCAGATCCTAAAAACAAGACGCTGTAAACCCTAAGCACGAAAAGGCATGTGCATATGTATCATACTACAAAATGATATTAACAAATATGTGCATGTGTGTATATATATATGCGTATGCATATGTATATGCATGTATACATGTTTATATCAATGTACATACAGATTCTGTACATATGCATATGTATGCAGCATGCACGCATGCATGTAAGCATGTAGACGTGAAGGCATGTAAAATGCAAGCGGACATTTGTGGATGTGTGCGTGTATGCACGAGCCCGGATTTGTATGAATGTATGTCTGTTTGCATGCATGCATGGATGGATGGATGGATGACTGGATGTACACAGTGTACATATACCAGCGTCCAAAACCTGTGCAAACATCCTCAACCCCGTTCTGACGGCTCCTAGCGAAGTCTACCGTGGCAGAGCCGTGCAGGAGCCCTCCGCCGTAACCCGAGGCGTGCCAGAGCCTTGTGGCGTTTTGGCTTTCCGACTTGAGCCAAAGTGGGTACTGACTTTCTTTATGGCTTTGAGTTGGATTCGTGTAGGCAGGCTCCGAGGATTTTTGGTTTCCGGTTTGGGGGGTGTCGGCTTAACACTTGAGGAGGTGTGCCGAATCTCACCGTCAGCTACCCGAGCCTCCGAGCTGCCGGATGCTTCGGAGCACTAGAAGCTCAAACAAAGGTGAGGGATCTGGACTCTGAACAACACTATGCAAAAATAAACGCTGAAAAACGGAACCCAAGTGCACAGATTCTCCACCTGCCTAAAATTCACCCCCAACGTTCAGGATTCAGGGTGGTCTTCTGCTGTCGCAGCTGAGGCACAGGAAGCCAGGGGAGGAGGGAGACCAGCCGACACCTCGCTGCTGCAAAAGAAGACTCCATTGGACGAAAATCTCCTAAACCCTAAACCCTAAACCCCTGTAGTCATAAACCCCCTAAACCCAAAACCCTAAACCCCTATAGTTATAAACCCCTAAACCCTAAACACCCTAATTCTCAAGCTCTGAAGGCGAAGAGCTTCATGAGGATTCCCTAAACCCGAATGCCCTGAAAGCCGCTAAGTGCTTTTTGTTTGTTTACACGGCCCTTTTTCCGCTTGCAGCGGCTTTAGGGTTGGGGCTGAGGCCCTGTATGCATCACTCCATCACCCTATCTGAGAGTCTGTCTAAATCACGACTATCGATCTTCTATCTATCGGTCTCTCTATCTTGGGATAGAGAACGCCCTCTTGAGAACATGACGCCTCCCTGGCTTTCAGGCGAAGTTCATTCAGACTAGGGACTTGTAACAATTTTAAGAAGCAGCCTTCCGAGGGTAAGAATGATAATCGTGTGAATACGATGTTACAAAGAGAATTGCACTCATGTCCTCAAACAAGTCATATTACTACCACGTAACATGGACTAGTTGCAGTTGCAGGTCTTCTTTCTGATCCCAGTCGATTTTGCCGTGCTTTTTGGCTATTGCGCTCGGCTGCTGAAGGGCTCTCTGAGGTTTAGACAAGAGGGCAGGGGTCTTCTACAAGGATTATGAGTTTACCTATGCCGCGAGAGAACACCTGTCGTTGGGTTTTGAGAGATTTTGGGTTCTTTGGGTTCGGGAGTAGCACGTTTTTTTGAGAATGAGCTGCGCAAGTGTATGCCTCGAGCGAGGCTGCTGATCTGCTTCAGTGGCCACTGCTGCTCAAAGTTGCCACACTTGTCATGAATTTGACATGCGGGTTTGTAGCTGCACTGGTAACAACTTTCGGCAGACTGGGCAAGCCAAAACCAGCCCGGGACCTTTCTAGCAAACGTAAATCAACAAGTCAACAGCGCGATACATTCAAGCAGCATCTGTCGATGCAGCCTGGCCCAACAACAAAGCCAAAGTTGCTTCGCAATTTGACATGCAGTGCAGCCAAACTTTCAGCTTCTGCCAGAAATAAACTGACAATGTATACAGATGCAAATAATGCATGTTTTACACTCCAAGCTACTGTGCACGTGAAGCTGGGGCGCTTGTCCACGTGGGCGCCCGAAACGTCCCACCTCTGCTGAGATGTGTGCCGCAGGTGCCCCGGGCTTTCTCTGCATTCTATAGACAGGTGCGCCTTCCACCTGGAACTGCAGTTACACTTAGATTATTCAACAACTACGTAATGATAGCGGTCAGAGTTTTCTGTATGAGGGACTCAGCCTGGATGGTGGTCATGAGTAGACTCGACCACAAAACCCGAAAATATCAAACTAAAGTACTGCTGGCAGTACTGTTCTGCAAAGCCTGAACCTCAAGCATAGTCTCAGCATAGTATCCTTCTTCAGCCTTTTCATGTCTCGAGCTCCGACTACCTACGCAGCTTTCAGAAACAGGGAACCCCTGACACAACATACGAACTTCTCCCAGCGGCGCAAGGAGCGCAGAGTCTTGTCAGAGAGCGCCTGGAGCACCTTCAGCGACAGGGCGTTCTTCAGCTACAGCGTAGTTAGTTTTGGGGCGTGCTCTCGGGGTCGAGAACGGAGATGTGAGAGGAAGTTCCACGCTGGTACTTCGAAGGTGAAGGTAGGCTTCGACTTCGAATCTGACATAAAGGCGTGGAGCGTAATTAATTACGGCACCATTAAGCCTCTAAAACGGTCACGGGGTACAACGGGAAATGTGCACTTGAGTCGACCGGGCAGAGAACCAGAAGCATAGTTACTAGATCAGCTGTCATGCAAGACTGGAACTCCGCTTTCACAGGGTCTGGAATACTACCGAAGCATCGACCAAATGACCAGCACCACACAGGCAATCTCGGCGAAAACAGCCGACTTTGGTCGGTTGCCTGTTATTTTAAGCTCCCAGGCTTTCCCGGTAAACTCTAAACCTTCAGGATCCCATAGTAAGCCCCAAACCTCAGAAATGCCCTCGCAGTGGTAAAAGAGTTCATGCAGCTTCACAACGTTTCGAGCTGTTGGGCCTCCATCGGCCCAGTGTCCTCTGCTGAACCATGCAGCCAGAGGCGTCGAACTGCTGTTCCCATCACCGACCGAACCTCGACGAATCACAGTGCCAGCAGATAGGGCCACGGTGGAGCGCTACGACGGATTCGTTCTGTGGTGTTTCTCGTCTCATGCTGCTGCTGAATCTTGAGTGCCAATTCCTTCGCATCAACATAAGCCAGAAACTCTCTAAAGAGTATGTCCAGGCTCATTCCCGAAACTCGTCCTAGGACCCCGGCTGTCTGCTGACAAAACTCCAGCCCTACAAGAAGAAACATGCCATCCCCCCATCCGACCAAGGGTCTTTACAAGTGATGGACACGAACTCTAGCCCAACCAGGCCAGGCCAGTCGTTCAGCGGTCCTGGCACAAGGCATGTAGGTTAAGCGAGACAGTGGTCGCCGTAACAAACGACAGGTAGCCGAGGGCATGTGAGGATGTAGACTCGCAGTTCTAGAGATCCGGCCATGGTAGTGGAAGTGCTGCAGTGGCGGTAGATGGATCTGCAGCGGCAGCAGTAGCAGCAACGAGACTCCAAATACCAGCGAGCCGCACCACCAACATAGAGCTACAATTAGTGGCTGCCTCTATCCCATACCTTCGACTTTCCTTACTAGCAGCAGGCCGCAGTCCTGACAGAATCCAGCTGCCGTGTTCGTTTTTATCCTGCAGCTGAGGCAGTGTGACGAATGTCCAGCAAAGTGGCCGACGCTCATTTCGACTATCCGTGGAATATACAAACGTCGGCTTTTTCTCAATTCAACCCGCACCACTAACAGCTTTCCCTATGGAGAAGCCGCTGCTGAGTTTTAGATGCGACACTCTTTGAGGACAACCCTGACATGTACCATGCTGTGGAGGGTACTTCCCCGAGTGCTCCTGGGGTGAAAGCATGAACACCTCTAGTTTTCCTCAATGATCTCCGAAGCCCGCTGCCCTGAAGACAAAAGCGGGCGGTAGCAGCTTCTAGACCTCTCGCCTGCTAACTACCAGCCAAGTGGCCAAGGACGCCCGTAGGTCAGAGATCTTGATGTGCGGAAAGGGCCGGCATGCTTTCAAGAAGCCCGGGGCAGTGCAGTGCTTCCTTAGCGGAGTTGAGCTGTGCTAGACTAGTGGCTTCCTTTGTGGGGACTCAGGGGGTGCATGGGGGTCTGCATCATTAGAGAAGCACTTCGGGTTTTGGGGATGGAAGAATAAATTAAGATAAAGATAGACAGATAGATAGATAGAAAGATAGACCAGATAGATAGATTGATTGATATATAGTAGAGAGATAGATGGATGGATTGATAGATAGAAAGATAGATCAGATAGATAGATTGATTGATGGTAGATAGATAGATGGATAGATAGATAGATCGACAGGTAGATAGATAGATCTATCGATAGATAGACCGATAGGTAGGTAGATAAACAGATAGATAAACAGAAGTAGGTGTGGATAGATATAGTTATGTATAGATAGATAGATACATAGATAGATACATAGATAGATAGATAGACAGACTGAGACGCAGATAGATAGATTAATAAATAGATACATATGACATAAATAGTTGTATGGAGGTCTCACGGTCCTTCTCCCGAGGCTTGCGGGGCCAGAAGGGTGGGGGAATACCAGAGCAATCACCCTCAGCTCCACTATCCTCAAGCTTGAAGCGGCTTTCTAGCGCAACCGCTCCTCCAACGAGCAGAGGACCAGGTCCAGCAAGAGGGGAAGCTCCAGTGGTCAAAGGCGGGGGAAGGCAAGGGGGCTGAGAAGCACAGGGGCGTGGGGACTCTGGTACCACGACACTGCGATTGCGATTCGCTTCTGGCTGGAAGATACTCTTTGGGGATCACAGGTTTAGATGCCGAAAAGGACAAGCTGCTTGTGGAAGAAGTCGTCTCCCACAATTTGAGCGTGCCATTTGTATCCCTGCCGTGTGTTTGCGGACAAGTCCTCACAGCCAGAAAGACATTTCGTGACCCGCAAAGGCATGATATGCTGCTACACAGGCTAATAACAATGGCAGTAGTTATAAACAACATTCCAAATAGCTATACCGATCATACTCCCAATGCTGGCAATATATACAAGAAGTAGAGCACAAAACAAATAAACATACTAACAGTAACAATAATGGAAATACTAGCATTCATAGTAAGGAAATTAATACTACTGCTACAACGACTAATAACAATAATGATAATACTAATCATAAGAATAATAACCAGTACTAATAGTCATAATAACACGAAGAATAGTATTACTCGTGATAATAGTGCTGAAAATCGTAGTAACAATCATATAAATACCTCAAGTACTATTCAACCTATGCATGACCTGTTCATAGTACAAGTCTGCGAGCTCTTCGTGTCGCTGTTTCTATGACTGCTATAGGTTGGTAGGTATTAGACCGCGTCTACGATCTCGGGTCTGGGAGAGTAGTAGGACATTTATAATAATATTAAAAAAATAATAATAGTAGTAATAATACTAATAATACTAATAGTAACAATAACAGTAATATGACTATCACTCAGACTTTCTCTGGGCTTGGACAGGCGGCCCTGCCCTCTTGTGGAAATACGTAGAATGCTTTGTCCGGCGGCTGCCGACAGTTTCGTCATCGGCACAGATGCTCCTACGCCTAAGCTTCGCATTCCACAGAATTTGAAGCGGCCAAGAGGTACCCGCAACCCCTAAACCCTGAACTCTCGAAAGCTTCCAACTGACAGAAAGATCACTCCTGCGCTGCAGTGACCGGCATGTCCTCGGTGGATGGGCTGGGCTTTGGTTAAAAGCTTCTTAACTCTCGCCTACATGGCACTATGGGACTGCTGCCTCCAAGCCGAAGACCAAAAGCAACAACGACCAAAGGTTCTATGCACTCGTTCTTGCCTATGAAACGTCGTTGGTAGTTATACGCCCACTATACATTCCGTGGTGTTTTAGTCAGATGCCTTTTTGGATTCTACTCGACTGTGTCTACTGGAGTATTTCACCCTTACTAAATAGGCTCGCCCTGGTGCAGGTCCAAAGGGCTCAAACAGCCCAAAATCAGATTGGATGTTTGGTTGAGGCCCTGCGAAATTCATTTAGACTCCACTGGGTTTGGGAGGTGAAAACGAATGCTTTGGCCCTCGAGTATATGTCCACAGGTCTCGAGGTTAACTATCGGCCAGAAGCACTTCGCGGCATTCGTTGATTCACAGAGCCCATGCAGGCGAGCTGCCTTCACACCTTGCACATCTTCCGCAGGCATAGGCTCGTGGTGCTCCCCATATTCGGATCCTTGCTTCGGACACTCTACAGACTTTGCCAACAAAGTCGCGCTCCCTACAAGTGTGACGGATTGACTCGCCCTCTGCAAAGCTACGGCCTACTACTACGGCTGTACGATTCCAAGAGCTTAACTTTCTGTGCCACATCCTGCGGGGTGCGGCCAAGCATCCATCCGAGTCGTCTCCATCTGGATGTAGAGGTGCCTGTGCGCTAGTCAAGGAGGTCATGGGACGCATTCGATACCTTTGAAGCCTTGCTGTCTCGACTCTGGTCCATGGTACCGCCTATCGGAACTCGCAAAGCTCTCAACAAGTCGGAAAGGCAGGGTCTGTGAGTTGCAGACACATCCCATCGCGGAGGTGGCTGACCCATTGGAAAAAACTATACTGGTACCTGCGACCAAGTGAACGCACTGTGGCAGCAGCAGGCAAGAACTCACATGCATAAACATGTGTCGTGTGAGTATGGGCAAACAAGATGAAAACAGAAACTTCCAAAACTCCTAGAGCCGGGTGTGGTGGAGCTGGAGGAGGGCGGGTGGAGGTAAATGCATCAAGTCTACGAATGCAAGTCAACAGCTTTTGTTTCGCTTAATTGACGCAGTTTTTACTAGCAACACTATGCCTGCCCCGCTAGCAACCCAACTGCCATGATCCGATGTCCTCTGCAGAGCCTTCTCCAAAGTCGGAGAACTGTAGGCTCAGGTTCCACGGGGTACTAGAAAGTTCATCTCCATCCAGGGGGGCTTGCGGAGACTGTAAGAAGCTTTTGGCCGAGCGAGGACTTCGAGGTGTGTGGGGAGTCAAAGAGACCTCAGAATTTCGCAGAAACTGACACCAAACTAGAACCTTTGTTTGGTGGTCCCTTCCCTGAAGCACGTCGACATGACAGCAGTTCGTTGACGAGTTGCTGCACCCGTTTCGTGATCAGTCATGCCGAGAATGCTCACAGGCTCAGCACATTCCGCTCCAGACAGGCAGAGAAACAGAAGACACACACACACACACGTGTCTACCACCACAAAACAAACTCAGCTCAAGAGCTAGTTGGAGGACCACTTGGAGGATCCGTTCATGGTTCTCAAGGCGTTTACACTGTCACAACTCTGACAAGCCTCGCGCTCAAGGCGCTTAAGGGCCTGCAACTTTGGGGGCCTTAAAGAGTTCAGAGGATTTGAAGTCTTGAGGCGAGGTAGGCTCCAGAATGAAGTCGTCTAGCTGTCTAGCTGCCACGCTCGCATGCCGTTTTCCAGGGAGGCCGACGGCAAAGTTCGGAAACCTTGCTCAAAGCAGGCACAAACCTGCTCGAGCACATGCAAACTTAACTTGAAAATGTCGGCTCCACTCTGGGCGCCGTTATTGCTAACGTGAAAATTTCAGATCGTGATGCAAGCCATGGCCCTATGACTTGTCGGCTCCACTCTGGGCGCCGTTATTGCTGTAAATCCATGGGCCCCATGATTCGATCATTCGTCTGGCCGGAAAGCCTGGCGGAGTTATTCAAACTTGCTGACAACGACATATATCCGGCATGTATCAAGTGCGACGTCCTAACGCTCCATGAGATACCAAACCATGCGACACCTTGCCCTGTGCATGGATACTTGACTCGGCTCCTCCTCAAGGTTCTGGATACCACGGCTGCCACATCCCAGGTGCTTTGCTGCAGCATATTCATGTGGTCGATGTCCTCGAAAAACAACAGTGTTTACCCTGATGATCATTCACATTGTTGTCAGTCGTGTTTCTTCTGCTGATACCACTACCAGCACGACTAGCACTAGCACTAGCACAACGACCACCAACACCACCGCCAATGCTACTAACACCACCACCACCACCAC